GGGGGGGGGGGGGGGGGGGGGATGGGCGAGTTGTAAAACTGAGGCAGCCTGATGCAGAGACTGGATGTACCAGAAAATGAATGTAAAATTTCAGTCTTGTGGTGTAGTGATTGGAAACAGTTAAGGTTAGTTTCAAGGAATCAATTTTTGCTTCGGTAGATCTATTCAGATAGAGGATGGCATCACCGACTCAATGGACATGAGTTTGGGTGGACTCTGGGAGCTGGTGATGGACAGGGAGGCCTGGCGTGCTGTGGTCCATGGGGGTCACAGAGTCGGACATGACTGAGGAACTGAACTGACTTGAGATCTATTCAGTAGACTCCCATTTTAAGGGGTATGTTATTATTCTCAAAATATATAATAGATATAAAATCTTTGTAAAACTTAAAAAGAATTTGGGTCCTCAGAAATAAGCAGTTCTCATTTATTTCAAACTTAGCCCTGTTAGAAGTATTCTGTCAGTTTAGTCACTCAGTCATGTCTCACTCTCTGAGACCCCAGGACTGCAGCATGCCAGGCCTCCCTGTCCATCACCAACTCCCAGAGTTTCTCAAACTCATGTCCATTGAGTCAGTGATGCCATCCAACCATCTCATCCTCTGTCGTCCCCTTCTCCTCCTGCCTTCGATGCTTCCCACTATCAGGGTCTTTCCAGTGAGTCAGTTCTTCGCATCAGGTGGCCAAAGACTCCGGGATTCTTGGCCTCCGGAGAAGAAGAATTCAATTCGGGGCCAGAGACAAGGCTTGATCTCTCAGAGCTTTTGTGCAATAGAGTTTATTAAAGTATAAAAGGGCTAGAGAAAGCTTCTGACATATACATCAGAAGGGGGCAGAAAGAGTACCCCCTTGCTAGCATTAGCAATGGAGTTATATACTCTCAAATTAGTTATTACAGTGAATCAAAAGAATGTATGGAGGTTGTAAAGACCTCACCAGACCTACTCCCATAATTTACATTTTGAGATAACAGAATTAGCCATAAGGTTTTTTCCAGAGACTGTCCTCAAGCAGGATACATTATTGTTATATAATCCTAAGGAATATAGAGTGGGAAAAAAAAAAGTTTGTCCTTTCTTCCTCCTTGAGAATTCCAGACCCCCTCTTCATGGAAACCCCTAGACTCCTTATCAACCTGCCTAGGAATTGACTCTCTCAATTTCCTTAGGGTTGTTTAGGATTGACTGGTTTGATCTCCTTGGAGTCCAAGGGACTCCGAAGAGTCTTCTCCAACACCACAGTTGAAAAGCATCAATTCTTTGGTGCTTAGCTTTCTTTACAGTCCAACTCTCACATCCATACATGACTACTGGAAAAACCTTGGCTCTGACTATATGGACCTTTGTTGGTAAAGTATTGTCTTTGCTTTTTAGTATGCTGTCTAGGTTGGTCATAGCTTTTTTCCCAAGGAGTAAGCGTCTTAATTTCATGGCTGCAGTCACCATCCGCAGTGATTTTGGAGCCAAAGAAAATAAAGTCTGTCACTTTCCATTGTTTTCCCATCTATTTGTCAGGAAGTGATGGACCAGATGCCATCATCTTAGTTTTTTGAATGTTGATTTTAAGCCAGCTTTTTCACTCTCCTCTTTCCCTTTCATCAAGAGCCTCTGTAGTTCCTCTTTGCTTTCTTCCATAAAAGGTGGTGTCATCTGCATATCTGAGGTTATTGATATTTCTCCCTGCAATCTTGATTCCAGCTTGTGCTTCATCCAGTCAGCATTTTGCATGATAAATTAAATAAGCAGGGTGACAATATACAGCCTTGACGTACTCCTTTCCCAATTTTGAACCAGTCTGTTGTTCCATGTCCTGTTCTAACTGTTGCTTCTTGACCTGCATACAGATTTCTCAGGAGACAGATAAGGTGGTCTGGTATTCCCATCTGTTTACGAATTTTCCACAGTTTGTTGTGATTCACACAGTCAAAGGCTTTAGCATGGTCAATTAGAGAGAAGTAGATGTTTTTCTGGAATTCTCTTACTTTTTCTATGATCCAAGGATGTTGGCAATTTGATCTCTGGCTCCTCTGTCTTTTCTAAATCCAGGTTGAACATCTTCAAGTTCTCAGTTCACGTACTGTTGAAGCCTGGCTTGGAAAATTTTGATCATTACTTTGCTAGCATGTGAGATGAGTGTAATTGTGTGGTAGTTTGAGCATTCTTTGCCATTGCCTTTCTTTGGAATTGGAATGAAAACTGACCTTTTTCAGTCCTGTGGCCCCTGCTGGGTTTTCCAAATTTGCTGACATATTGAGTGCAGCACTTTCACAGCATCATCTTTTAGAATTTGAAATAGCTCAGCTGGAATTCTGTCACCTCCACTAGCTTTGTTTGTAGTGATGCTTCCTAAGGCCCGAAGGCACGATCACACCGTCTTTGTTATCTGGGTCTTTAAGATCATTTTTGTGTAGCTCTTCTGTGTATTCTTAACCACCTTTTCTTAATATCTTCTGCTTCTGTTAGGTCCATACCATTCAGAATTATTATGGTCATCAATTTAAGATGTATATAAATACTGAATCACTATGATGTACACCTGAAACTAATGTGATATTGTTTCTCAATTATACTTCAGTAAATAAAAGGACAAAAATAAGGGTAGAGCTTTTATGTTGGAAGTGTTCTGTAAGATTTGTTAAATAGGTGGGGAAAAAAATGCATCAACCAATAACTTTGTAAAACATGTATTTTAATGTGTCTACAAAGTGATTCTACAAAGCGTTTGAACTTATGTGACCCTTACCAGGTCCATGAGAGGGATAAGGCAGCTATGACTAGGCCACATTTGGAAATGAACCATCTGAGTGAGGACCACGGAGACTGAATGATTTGTATCTAGTCAGGTCCAATGTCACAGGCATTTGCGCTGAACAATCAGTCACGTAGGTTCCCCAGTTCATAAAAGCTCTACCTTTGTTTTTATCCTTTTATTTATTGAAGTATAATTGAGAAACAGTATCATATTAGTTTCAGATGTAGATCATAGTGATTCAGTATTTATATACATTTTTAATTGTTCACCGTAATAACTCTGGTTTCCATTTGTAACCATACAAAATTTTCACAATACCGTTGACTGTCTCCCCTATGCTGTACATCACCTCCTGATGAATTGTTTATTTTTTAACTGGAAGTTTGTACCTCTTAATCCTCTTCACTTAATTCACCCAGTGCCCAACTACCCTCCCCTCTGACAACCACCAGGTTTTTTTTATTTGGATATATACCCAGAAGTCAAGTGGCTGGATCATATGGTGGTTCTATTCTAAGTTTTCTGAGGAACCTCCATACTATTACATCCTCACAGTCTTTGTTATTTGTCCTGTTTTTGATGATAGCTATTCTGACAGGTGTGAGGTGATGTCTCATTGTGGTTTTAATTTGCATTTCACTGGTAATTAGTGATATTGATCATCTTTTCATGTGCCTATTGGCCATATGCATGTCTTCTTTAGAAAAATGTCTATTCAGATCTTCTGCTAATTTTTTAATTAGGGTTTTTCTTTCTGAACATTGCATTTTTAAAGTTATTATATGTATGGATATTAAACCCCTTACCAGATATTTGATGTTAAAGTGTCTTCTCCCATTCAGTGGATTGTCTCTGTTCTGTAGTTGGTTTCCTTTGCTGTGCAGAAGCTGTTTGGTGTGAGGCAGTTGCATTTGATGAGTTGCTCTGGCCTGAGGAAACAGATCCAAAAAAACAAACTTTGACATCTGTGTCAAAGAGTTCACTGCCCGTGTTTTCTTATTAGGGGTGTTTTGGTTTCACACATTGCATTTAAGTCTTTAATCCATTTTGAATGTATTTTTATGTATAGTGTAAGATGTGATCCAGGTTTGTTCTCTTGTATCTGCATCTGTTCAGTTTTCCCAGCCCAGATTTTTTAAGAGACTGTCTTTTCTTCATTGTATATTCTTGTCTCCTTTGTCATAGATTGACCACGAATACATGGGTTTATTTTTAGGCTCTCTATTTTGTTCCATTGATCTGTGTGTTTTCTTGTCAGTACCATACTTTGCTTTGATTACCATGGCTTTGTAGGATAGTTTGAAATCAGGGAGTGTGATATATTCAGCTTGGTTCTTTCTTAAGATTGTTTTGGCTCTTCAGGGCCTTACCACTTGGTTTAATGCTTTGCTGTCACCATTTCGCAATCCTTATTAATTTTTCAACAAGGTGCAATGTGTTGTCTGAATGCAAAATTATATTTTTCTTTTAAATAAATCTAGAATCCAGAATCTTAAAACTAATGAAATAATATTTTAAAAAACATAAAATGTATTGAAAGGATACGTTTTAGAAGAGTGTATAAAAATAAGGTGCTAAGAAAGAACGGCAGATTTGTACTATATGCAGAGAACTGAAGTACTTGATTCAGTTCATATAAGCTATTTGTTTCAGTTTATATAAGCTGTATAAGCTATTTTCAAACCATAACTTTCCATTTATGATGATAAGATAATTATATAATAGTAATGATTGGTTTATGTAGGTATGTGACTTAATTTAGTAAATGCATTCAGTGAATGCATTAGGAGGAAGTACAATATTTACTTGTTACTAAATGGCTTGCTAAATAATAACACTATGAAAAATGATCAAGCTTTCTGTATTTGGGTTTAAAGTTGGCAAAATATATGGCTAGCTGAGTTCACTATTCCTGTGATCCACAGACGATCATAGGATCCTGGGCAGTGCTGTGACCCCTGAGATCTAGGGATCACACGATCCCTGTGCTGAGCCCAGAAGTTGTCAGATAGTCCAGCCCTCAGCATGTTCCTGTTTTCTGGGATGAGTGAGAGAGGCTTGTTTATACTGTTCATAGAGCTTAAGATTCTTTAGGGTTGACTGCCTTAGCATAGCCATGAATGACACTTAGTTTACTCCCAGCTGAACTTTATCACCTAGATGGAAGAGGGAAGACGACATCATTATTGTTTTTTTTTTCTTTTTCTTTTTTTAGAGGGGGGAACCCAAACAAACAGGAAATATCAAGCTCTGCTATCAGTCAGAGTCACTTCAACTCAGACAACACTGTTCAGAAGTGTCACTTTGTACGATTTACTTTTAAATTGTCATGAAATGTCATGAAGTGTCATGAAATGTCACTAATGGAACAATGTACCTGACATTAATGAAAGAAATACATGATACATGATACATGTGACCTGGTGGAAAAAAATACAAACATCTGAAAATGTAAATATGACAGTGATGTGAATTAACACTTTTAAATCCTAAACAAATGGGAAACAATATCAATTTACCGATTTTATCATGACAAATGCTATTAACAAAGATGGGAAACAATTTACAGGGTATAAGTGAACTCTTGTTCGCCTGTTTATTCTTCTTTTGCAGCAACAGTCTTCCTTCTTTCCTTCTTCCTTTCTTTCTTTCCTTCCCTCCTTTCATATAGAATTTTAGGCACTGTTATGACAGAATAATAGAGAATGGAGACTTACTCATTCAGTCCCTTTAAGTTCTCCAAACCAATACTGCAGGTCTGCTCCCTGGAAGGTGGTAGCTGGTCACAGGCCTTCATCGTCAAGTCACAGGGGGTGTGGTCATACACATAATGAACTATTACACAAGCGATGAGTGATAAGTTTTGTAATGGTGGAGATACAGAAGACATGGAGATTAATTTATCAGTTGAAAAAATATTGAGGTTTCATGACCTCAGCAGGTAGAAAGCCAGCGAGCCTGTGTTTTTGTAGGAAACCCTGAGGCGTGGAGTAAAGATTTTGGTTTGGCCCCAGCACTGCCTCTTATGAATTGCGCCCTTTTGAGCAAGAGTCGACTTTCCAAACTGCAGTTTCTTTATCAGCTGTGAATCTTAATACCTACCTCACCTCTTGCTAGACTTCTGTAATTATTGTATTAGATTATTCAATCAATATATAAAATGCTTCTTGAACTCCAGCTATATATGCCAGGCTCTGTGCTAGGCACCAAGGAAGACAGATGAGTAAGTGAAAGTGTGAGTCGCTCAGTCATGTCCAACTCTTTGTGACCCCATGGACCGTAGCCCACCAGGTTCCTCTGTCCGTGGGATTCCCCTGGCAAGAATCCTGGAGTGGTTGCTGTTCGCTTCTTTGGGGGACCTTCCCAACCCAGGGATCAACCCAGATCTGCTGCACTGCAGGCAGATTCTTTACCATCTAAGCTACTAGGGAAGCCCAAGATCAGTAAGATTCTCTGTTAATTCAAGGAGGTCACCATTCATACCCAAAGTTGCAAACTTGGTTGTTTATAGAGGCCAGAGCTGTACTGTAAACAAGTAAGTAAAAAGACATTTAAAAAACCAGAGGGATAATGGACTTCATGACACTCAGTAGAAAGTATGTCTAATCTTGATGGGGCTGTCTCTGTCAACACCATCTGGTCATGATTATCCAGAAATGCTAGTCTGGAAATGTCCCTAGGGACTGAACTTTCTTAAAATGTGAGATATCCCTATTTTTCATGTAGATATCTAATTGTAAAAATTGTCTAAATATTTTATAGGCAGAATGTGCCTGTGCAGGGTAGAATCCACTTATGAACTGGCCATTTGCAAGCTTTGATCTAGACGGGCATGCATTCATGTGAATAAATTACAAGGCAGATAGTAGGTAGGTGCAGAAGTGGACCAAGATAATTTCAAATGATTCCAGAATAAAATGAAAAGGATGTGGCATATATGCCAAAGAAGGTATCCTATAAGAGGCTGTGACTGTGTTGAATTAAAGAATGACAAAAATCTGAGTAACCAAAAAATTCAAAAGAGGTGATTCAAACAAAAAAGAAAGCATTTTCAAAGACTCTGTGAGTTTGGTATTGCTAGAAACAAAAGGAGGAGCAAGAGAAGCTGAGAGCTGAGGAGAGAAAGGCAAGATGGGGTGTGGTCTCACATGGCGTGCTAAGCAGACTGGATCCTCACTGTCCTGGGGATGTGAGTAAAGGACATACGTGGTCTCATTCCTGTTCTGGAAAGATCGTTCTACTGATTGAATGGAAGAAGGCATGGATGGGAGTGAGACTAGACGTTTGGAGCATGTTTAAGAGGTTATGGTCTTGGGAATGGAAACTATGGTGAAATTGCAATTGATCAGAAATTGATCTGTAAGTTAGAAAGCATGTTATGAATCATATCCATTTATGATGTTACCATTTTAATTGATATTAAATGCATAATCTTACACATTTAAACATCTCTGCAATCAAGATGCAGCTTTCAGTCCCTTGGATAGCAGAGTTAAATGTAGGAGCTTTTTGTATTTTAGATATCAAAGCTTAATGATGCCTCTTAAAATCAATGATGTCTTTGATACAATGAAATATAAAATAATCATGAACTTCTAACCACTAAAGTGAAGGTTAAAGCAGAGAGGTGGAATAAGTTCTAGGACTTGATAATCCCACCTACATCCCTGGAAAGGAACCTTTAGACATTTATCTGCTTTGATTGCCAACTGTTCCTACTTCCTGATCGTTCATTAGATTGGAAGAAGCAAATGTATATGCTTAGGAGCTGGGAGATGGTGTAAATGCATAAAGGTAAGGGGAACACAGGCCATCTCTAAATGACAGTTTCTTTTCTAGCTATAAACTACTCTTGGACCCAAATTAAAAATTAATATTGCCAGATTCAAGAAAAACTGGAAATCTGAATTTTTTTACATGAAATCTCTCAATATTTGAATGTTGGCAAGGTATTCAACATTTTTAAAAAACCTTGTGCAAACCAAACAAACATATCTGTGTACTAAATAAGTTACCATCCTTGCCTCTGCTAAGCCTCTTGTTAAATGGGTGATCATTACTAATTTTTAATCCTTATAATTTCATAATATTAAATGCTAAAGATAGCTAAATGCCAATGACAAATGTCACAGCTGAGAGAGATGAAATCTCTTCCTTGTTTGTATCAGCCATCTGGTACAGCTCTCAGTCACATAAATCTTTTAGAAACAGCAATTGTGATAGTCTCAAGGCCTGCAATCTAAAATGGGTTAGTTATTTTGTCATAAAATGTTCCTGTTTTATCATCTATTCAACAGCAGAAATTCTTGGGCACAGTGTTTTGACATAATAAAATTATATCTCAAGTCTCAAAATTCTTTTTTCTCCAGAAGCAATAGCAGAAGCTGTTGATATTTAGAAAACTGCTGGAAATGCCTAAGGGAAATTTCTTAATTCTACCCTTATAGATTTATCTTTTGCTAATCTCTTTCAATCAAAACTTTGTTAACATTTGTAATGTAGTATTATTAAATGCATAAAGAATAAATATATCATTTTTCTCCTTTGCAATAATAATATATTAATAAGGTGATAAAAATTAAGACTATAAGGAAGAATTCTGCTCTGGAAATGATGAAAATACCAGACACTACACTTACGCTTCCAAAAACTATCTGGACATGATGCATGAGACAGTTGTTTTCAGGCATTAAATAATGGGCAACACAGGTACTTGATCCCTGAGAAGGAAATCGCAAGATGAGTGCCGTATTCCTCTTGGCGGCCTAACTGGGGACAGTGCTGAGTCTTTGTGTGGTAAGCAGGAGCAGTGTGCTCTGTGGATGGATTGAGAACTAACGGGGCTATCAAAAGGAAGAGAGGCATGTTTCCTTAGCAGACATGGATGGGCTCTCTGGTCAGTCCAGGGTAG